GCAAATTGACAACCTCCTCCGCGTGTTGTCCTCCGCGTGTTGTGTCCTGGCGCGCCGATCGATGTCGCGCCGGGGGGGTGTCTAGACGCCGAATTAAAATACGGCAACCATTCCAGCATTTTACCATACACTCCGCAGATCATTGACAAGATCGTTTCGGATGTTACGTTAGGTCGTGCTCTCGTCTTCGACGTGCAGTTCATCCGTGAAATTTTGGGTGTGCGTGTTTCCCCCCTTGGGGTGGTGGACGATCCGAAAGTCCGTATCATTCATGATCTCACATTCACAGCGGCTGGTGCGCAGTCTAGCGTCAATGCAGATACAGATTTTGATCGTGCCCCCGAGTGTCTGTTGGGACATGTACTTTTCGATGTCTTGTCGCGCGTCCTCTTTTTGCGCCAATTGCACGGGCCGACTCTCGAGATTTTGCTCTGCCGTATTGACGTGCGTGAGGCTTTTCGCCAAGTGTTGGTCGACCCTTCGAGGGCGTCGGTATTCGGATACACGATGGGGGACGTGGTCGTCATCGACCTTCGTTGCCAGTTTGGTTGGCGTTCCAGCCCAGGTTTTTGGTCGCTGTTTGGTTCCGCTCTTGAGCATGCACACACCCACACTACTTTTCAGACAGCTTCTGTGTTGCCTGCCGGAGTTGCGGCGGTTGATCATATTTAGAAGTTCCTCCCCAAAACCTCCCCGTGTCGTTACCGCGTGATTGTGTCAAAATTTCTATGGAGGGCGGTTTCGCTGGTTCCGCATTTTTCGTTCGGTACTATGTGGATGACGGTGTGCTTGTCGAGGCGCGGTTTTTCACGGATGGACGACGTTGCCTACGTGCAGTGCAGTCGATCGCGTCGGACCATTTCAATCTGCTGGGACACCGGGGGCCAAACGATCCTCCGTTGTTGTCTGCAAAGAAAATCACCGATTTTTCGACGCGTTTGGAGGTGTTGGGATGGATTTTAGACACGCAAACTCTCACAGTGACCATGCCTCTGCGAAAACAACAGAAATTACACCGTTTGTTAGGCGAGTGGCCGCGGTCGCGTCGGTGTGCGACCGCCCGTCACGTCGCGGAATTGACCGGTTTTCTTCTTCACGTGTCTTTTGCCTTGCGTCCGGGCAAATTTTTCGTCGGCTGTCTGCTGGCCGACGTCGGCATGCCGCAGTCCGAAGTGTTTCCTTCGCGTGTTTCTAACCCCAATCGGCGTGTCGTGTTGGGGCCCATGTTTCACGATGATTTGGATTTTTGGCGCTGGTTTGCGCAGCGAGGTCTGGCGTCGCGTGGCGGCCAGTTGTGTGCACCGATGTACAATGTGGTGCTTCGTCCTCCGGTAATGGCTGTGTTTGCCGATGCTTCCAAAACGGCGTTTGGAGCATACTGTGTGCAAACTGTGTGTTATTTCCGGCGTGATCTGACGTGTGACGAGCAGTCCGGCTTTGTGGAGTCTAGCAAGTCTGTATCCGAGTGTGCCGATGTCAGTATCAATGTTCTTGAGCTACTCGGCATGGTCGCGGCGGCATGGGTGTTGATTGTGCAACAGCGTCATGTGCCGGTGTCGGCTGGTGACTGTATCCAGTTGCGGGGAGACAATGAAGCGAGTGTGGCATGGATTGAGCGGTGTCGCGGAGGCAAGGAGCCGCGGTCAGGCGCGCTCATGCGGATGCTGGGGGCGATTGAAGTGTCTAGCGGGTGGCTTTTCCAATCGTCCCATGTGCCTGGTGTGCTCAATTCGCTTGCTGATGGTATTTCTCGCTGGCCCGCCGCTGATGTGTACGACAACCTTTGTGCCGCTGCCCCCCATATACGATGACAGGAAGTGGAGTTGAATCGAGCCGGGCAAGAGATGTGCTCTGCCGTACTGGGGCCAGTCTCGTCCGCCAGTCACTTGCGCGAACGTCTGAACGAACTTACCTGGGCCTTTTTGGAGCCTGGGTGAAATATCGTGTGATCGTGGTGAACCGGCCGGTTTTTATTGCGGCCGAGGTTGTTACGCGTGATGTCGTTGCTCAATTACTTGAGTACGTCGCGTATTGTTGTTCCGTTTTGGGTCTACAACAATCGACGATCGCCAGTCATTGGTCCGCTATTAAGTTCTTCCATCGTGTGTCGGGTGAAGGGGAGCTTGATCCGCAGCATCCGCTGGTGCGTTGTGCTTTACGTGGGGCGGCGCGGGGGCANCGTCGGGGGGACGCAGCGTTTTTTTTCGGGGGTCGGTCCAGCTGTTGCAGTCGGCGCAGTGGCCATTGGCCGATCGCGCGGAGGTACGTTTTCGTTCGTCGAAAGGGGACCAGTTTCGGAAGGGGGCGGTTTGCACGCGCACACGGCAAGGTCCGTGCTGTGGGGTTGACCGAGGGGGTGGTGCAGTGGATGTCATGGAGCTGCTTTCTCTGTATACCTTGTTGCCTTGGCATGCGCCTCTCGTGGCTTTCGGTGTTGGTCAGGGCCAGTGGGCCATGTGGACTAAGTGTCAAGCTACTGTGGCTCTTCGCCAAGTGGTTGCGTTGGCGGGTTTGCAGCCCGAGGAGTACGCGCTGCACTCCCTGAGAATTGGGGGCGCAACTTTCTTGGCGGCG